TATATCCGGCCATGTACGTATGTATTAAATACAGCAGAATGAACCGGATCGCCTGCCTTAGCGCCCTCGTGTCCTGCATTCGCCCGTCGAGTTTCTAGAGCTGACCTTACCAAAGGAGTAAAATGACAGGACTGGGCCTGTTAAAGAGGAGAACCGAGCAAGAAAGAGATCAGACAAAGAGACAATACGGGAGAGGGGGGGGGTCATGATTGGTGCAAGCTACTACTGCTACCACCTTTTCCAACTGGTCATCCTTGGTTGGTTTTGGAATCATACCAGCAGATACAGAGAGGGAGAAAGGCAGAGGCAGAGAGAAAGGAGGGAAGAGTCATGATAGAACTCCGGTCCCGATGCGGCAACTGGAGATGATGATGAGCCAGAGATTGGCTGCAGAAAAGGGCATGGATCTGTTACTGGGATTGTTTTTTTAATATTATTATTATATCCGATTTTATTTTTATTTTTGTTTCCGAATTTCCATTTTCCATGGGATGAATTTTTTTTTTTTTAATTTTGCATTAAGGATTTCCTTCTATTTTATAAGGATGAAGGCAACTATCACTCTTCTCTTCGTCTTCTTCTTCTCCATCATCGACTGGTCTTATAAAAGGATTCGAAAGATCATTGAGAAAAGACACCGATTCCCCAGTCCAGCTTGCAGGAAAGCACCTCCGCTGCTGCACTGCAAGATCCGCTGTCCATTCCAGCAACCAGCGCTGGGTCTGAGTGTAAGTGATGCTGTCCTTCTTCTCGTCTTCTGTCTCCTTTTTTCTTGTTTCCCTTATCCTAGGTGGACAATTCGTGCGTGTTTCGAAGATTCCGACGCATGACAACTTGCTCCGGCGTGATATCAGACCTCGCGCACACTCTGGCCATATTTAACCTTGAGACCGTCACTTGCTCGTTCTTTAGAACACTGCCATGTCCTTTATCTTCTTCTCTTTTTATTTCTCTTGTCAGGCCTTGGTCTTTATTCCATACTTGGCTCCTCTCTTGCTCTGACCCTAACTAACGCTTCCCTCAGTCAATCCAGTATTGATGCTTGCTTCCACTCATCGTTGCTCGAGCCGTTGATTCCGTCGATTATTCAAGCCGACAATTTCGAATAACCAGTATATCGATTGAACAAAGAATTGTCGTGGTGCCTCCGGCCCGTCGCGAAAGTACCTGCCCGGAGTTTATCAGAGTCAGCAATCCATCTGAACCCTTTCTCGATAAGAAAAAGAAACAAAGCCAATACCTGCAATGAATCATTGTAAGTTGACCGTTATTCCGTCGCTCCTTGCATTTCTGCCTTGTTGTGTTGTCATTGAACACCGACAACTGATCTCGGATTCTGAGTCTGACGTTGGTCCTTCATTTCTTTTTTTCTTTTTTTTTTTTTCTTTTTCTCAATGTTTGCCTTGCCTTTCGGCGTTCCGGCCATTCCACCATGCAGCGTTGATTGGATTCGGACAGGGGTATTGGCCTGAGAGAGTCCTTTTGTTTGTTTGCTCTTTCAAGCCTCGTCCCCGTGTCCTTGTCTTTCATTCGCAGCGCTTCAAAGAAAAATAGCCTCGGATACTAACCAATCTCTTGCTGCTTCTAGCAGGTCTCTTACAACCACCCTTCTCGTTGGATTACCCCGTCACCACTGATAGTGACTACTCATCTCACCGGTCCTTCACCGGCTCGTCCGGGTTTCCTGTGGAAGAGGACGACCACAATCGCAGAGTCAACACGTTGGGTCATCCCCTGGCTCAACCCGTCTCTAACGGCTTGCGATACAACGCACAAGCTACTGCTTCCATGCAAGATGTCTCGTAAGTCTGTCCCCTTTTGATTTGGGCTACCCGAGTGTCTCTGTTCCCATGCGATCCGACGGCCCCGGTGTCAGATCTCGAAATCACTAGTGCATGCATGGTCTACATCAAGCTACAGCCATGAAAAGGAAAGGGAAAAAAAGAAAAAGAAAAAGAAGCCGAACCGCCCATACCGCGTTTAGTTGCACTTCAGCTGTGAGTTGCTGACAAGATGGGACAGATTTACAACCTCTCCTTCCATGCTGATGAGCCCTGGCGATACCTGCTCGGGTATGTGGACTCGTTTTTGCTTTGATCATCGCTCATGCTAATAGTTTGCAGAAGCTTTCTCTTCAACATCCTACTCCCCTACCCCCAACTCCATCTACTCCCCCTCTCCAGCTTTATCATATGACAGAATGTCAAATTTTGGTACCCACCGGATGCCTTCTCTGTAAGACTCTTGATCCTGGCTTTGGATAACTTACCACTGACCGTTGAAATTAAGTCTTAGTCAACCTCCAGCCACTCAGCACGTTCCCGCAAATTGGAGAACGGATAACTTCCCCGGGCCCGGGCCCTACCTCCAGCGCGGCCAACTTCCATCACTACCAGGGTTTACCAGCTCTCCGCGAGGCTACGAGAATGCGATTATGGGCCAGTCGAATCTATACTTGGACTCAATGCACCGATACAGAGACACCGAATCACCTCCGTGGAGCAGTGAAACTAACGTTCTTCATCATGTGTGGGTCGGTAACATGAAGAGTGGGCAGACGATCAAGCCGGAAATCAGGGCGAATATTCCCAGCAAGAAGTTCTTCCTTGACGGGGAGAAATGGACATGTTATCGTCGTAACTATCTGGCCGTTACGTGCTCGTTTTCATTAAGCCCGTGCAATTCGGGTCCCTTTTGGGTGAAAACCGAGAATCATGGCGCCCAACAGATCCGCAGCTTCGCCATGTCGCTCTCGGCCACCGTTGACTCGAAACCTGACGAGCCTCGTGAACTAGTGCAGCACAGTCCGAAACGAGACAAGCAGTCAGAGCGACCCCCTGGAATACTCCCAGTACAGCCTTGCCCCCCGCCGTTGAGCTACGGCCATAGTCCTGCTGGTACAAATGGCGGTCAACATGGCTACGGGATGGCATCGCAATCAGCAGGGCTTTATGATTATGGTTCGTCGTCCTACGTCAGTGCTTCACACTCAGGAAATCCCCCGACGCAATGCACGTTTGAACGGATCCAGTTCGCAAAAGCCACGGCCAACAACGGCAAACGCCGGGCAACCCAGCAGTTCTACAACCTGGTCGTGGACCTCTATGCCGAAATCGAGCGCCCAATTGGCGGCAAGCCCGGCGACGAGTGGATCAAAATCGCCCGGCGGTTGTCCCACCCGATGGTGGTCCGCGGCCGGTCCCCTGGCCACTATCGAGAACACCGAAGGGATAGCCAGAGCAGCATGGACCCGGACGGGGGTGTTGGAGGCTCGGGCGAGAATGGCGGCATGCTGCCTCCTGGCTATCCAGGCCGTTTCCAAATGATGGGGTACGAACCTGCCTCGTCAGGACGTTATGGTCGGACGGATTACCATCAGCATATCAAACCCGAACAATCTCCCTTAAGTGACCATAGCCCACACGCCTCGTCGTCCTCATCGACATGTACCCTCGACGTGGGTATCCTCAACGACACCTTGGATCCCATGGACATCAAAGCCACCTCGAGCATGGACTCCTACGACAACTCCTTCGTCATGGTTGAATTACCGCAGGACCGAAAACGTACCATGGGCATTCACGGCACCGAGGGAAGTGAGAATGAAACAACGCTCGCCTTCCGCAACCAACTACCATCCTTTGAATACGACACGCTCTCCAAGGAGGAGGAAGTCGGCGTAACAAGCCCTGGCAGCTTCCCGGATAGCGTTGCGTCGATGGTTGCCATGATGCCAAATGAGACGGCTGAGGGTTCGTTTATTCGCAATCCACCACGGGTTCCCTCGCAGCCGGCTGTGGGTAATAGTAATGGTGGTGGGTTTAATGCGTTTACTGATAATTCGTTTGGACGGTTTGATTCGGTGCAGGGGTCGCAAGAGTTATGCACTTAGTGTCTCTTGCACTTCAATAATGTCTCTTTCTTTTTCGTGTTTCGTTCGGTGGCATCTTGTCGTTTCGTTTTTATTCCCCCCTTATGTCATGAAATTCCCCCTGGGTTATGTTTTTTTTTTTCTCTTTTTCAGTGCTTGTATAGTATTATTTTTATTTGCATTGAGTCCAGAATGGATATGATTGTTTAATGTTTACGAACTTCTCTGCCTTGTAGTGAATAGAGGCGTATGTGAATGTAATTGGATCGAATGCTTCCTATACTAGCCTATACATTCTTTGGCCCCGCCATCCTCCACCTCACGTTCTCCCACCTTCCTCCCATCTAATCCAGATGGTATTCCTTTCAATTACCATATATACTCCACTCCGTAATGAACTGTTTGAGACCATACAATGCTTTCATTATGATTTCTCTCCTATCCGTCAGAAGCAATTCGACACAGGAAGATCCTAGACCAAACAAAATAATGCGACTTTTGACAGACACATTGTCCTTACTAAATCATCCCGGATGACAGAGAAATTGAAACAAAGAAAGGCAAACGTCCGCTTACGAATTTGAATGGAATGCAAGATACGAAGTTCATACAAATGGCTAAAATGTTTAACTTCACGATATAACAGGAGACATGCCTTGTAACGCTTAAGTCGGCACAGGCGCAGGCTAGCCATCTGCTACTCTTGCTTAAACTAGCCCAGCTGTTTCCAGGCTAGGAACAAGTTGACACACGGCGTGGATTCTTTATCGATACGATACTGATTGGACACCAGAATCTAGAGCCACATGGGATGGTGACTGGATTTGAGAATCTATATGGCGTTAGCTTCGGGATACAGTTTTCTCGCAATTGCAGATCGGTTATCACAAAATGATTATCCAGGGCAACATGAATCCCGCAATCTCAGTGCGGAATAGCGGCTCAACATTATATAGCAGAATTCATCGTCTGACTATAAAACTACTGGGTGGAAACCATGAGCTGGTCAGATGAGAGAACACTGTATTCGTTTATTTACAAAGCATTAGGGCCAAGATAATGGGATAAACACAGGAATACCCAACCCGTCAAAAGATCTTCAAGGATTTCCCGAGGACAGTGTGCGCAAATGGACCCAACGCAAACAGGGAGTCGAGCACCTTCACTGCCGCTCTGGAAACAAAGTGCTTCAAGCTACCGAACCAGACAACCGGTGGAATACTCCAAATTAGGAGTGCTTCTTGCAATGTACTTTAGATCATCCAACAGGTATGTTGGTAATTATCAAGAGGTACTCGGAGGGTCTAGGTTGTGACTGGGGCTTCTGCTACAGTTCTGGGACTGACTATGAACTGTTTAAGACAATGTGAGTATGACTTGGAGGATCTGCAGTTTCTCCAGATTTTCGAAAAAAAAAAAAAAAAAAAAAAAAATTTGTAAATGCTAATACGTATTGTCTCGACTAGCAAATCATGAAACTTGGCTCTGCAGGCACTGATTTGTTCCTCGAATAGATCCCTATACCAGCACACCACTCAGAGGGTTTATGAGATATATAGCCAGCCATTTCCTCGGCCAGCTTGAGAAATTTGAGCAAGAGAATGGCCGGTCTGTTTCTCCAAGCTGAACGAGGGAGGCTGACTTGTCAGAAATGTATTAGTCATTGAGAATATGCAAGATCCGGTGAATAAGCTGCTTCATTTACAGACTGTTTGATAAGCCTCTCCAGAGCCGAAATCTGCATCGACGCAGTCAGATACCCGTCAGTACGACATTTCTGTCGCTCGACCACCCCAGTCACCCCCGTACTGTACGTCCATCCCTACATTCATGAAGAAAATGCTATCTGGATCCCACCGTTTAGTCGATAGTATCAAGGACGCTATCCATTTCGTCATTCTCGAATCAATTGAATAATCAGCAGAGCTCCGAGTTATTGAAAATCGAGTGGCTCAAATGGATACAAGGGGAGGTTAAATGTCGACACTACTCATTTTCTAGAAATTTGCTCGTGGCTACATGCCACAGGCTAACGTTCCATCCTCTTGGTTGAGGAACGTTTGCCTGTTCCAAGCCACAATGGCATCGATCGTAAAGTGATTGCCCATGGAGTCTTATTGGTTATCAGTCACGAAACCACAAAGCGCGATGCAAGGGAGATGCTCAGGGCTTTGCAATATAAGGAATATCATGCAAAGCGTGCGTGACAAATATGACCCTCAATTGCAATCAACAGAGCCGTCAGGCGTGTCTCTACAGAAGACCAGAGAAGGTCAAATCCCAGAGGCGAGTCAGTCATTCCAAGAAACGGATTTTACACAGGCCAGACTATGCAATTAATTGATCTACATGGGGCTCACTCAGCTGTGTCATTAATTTGAAGTTGCTTGTTTCTTTCTCTGGCGAGTTCGAAAAATTGCTGAAAAATGAGAGGCCGCTATTGAGCGGCGACAGTTCGCTAGCCAATAGCCACGAAGTTGATGGACGAAAAATTCATTCCAATGAGGAATGGAGAGCGGTTAGCTGCTCACTCACGCTCAGTTTATCTTTGGATAGCACGTATTCGGAGACGAAGTTCGCATATATGGACACATTTCGTTATTCGAAGATGATTGGTCTTAATCCGATGATCATTCAAAGCAACAAACGGAGAGAGAAGCTTGCTTTTTCTACCCGCCCTGAAATAACACTTGTTTCCATTCATACCCCTGCACTATGTAGATCGCAGCATGCACATTAGAATCAATACAAAAGTAACCAATTCTATCCCACCCGATCCCTGCCCCTGCCCCTGTCCCTGTCCCTGTCCAGATCCCAGCCACGCATCCGGCACGGTACAGTCACGCATGACCTAAACTAAATCCAGAATCGACGTCGGAATCTAGATCTGGAAACCAGAATCTGGTTATGACGCTGCCAACGTAGCACAGCAGAAAAGCAAGCAAAACAAGCCACTCATATTATGTGCATAGGTAGCTAGTGGCTGCAGGATGTATAATGTGCTATGTATTGTATATCATAGCATTTTTGGGCGATTTGGCCGCAGCCCAGATCTCGGCCTCGGGTTTAGGATGGGTTAAGGGTGCGTCGGGGTTTGTTACGGTCCATTTTCAATGTTCCTATCTATGATACCTATCTATGATACTATTAGCTATAGTTCATTCTTTATCAGATGGTGTGCTTAATTGCTTGATCTTACTTCGTTATCATTATCTGCTAGATCCGTACTCTGCACGGACTGCGTATCTGCCAAACCGACAATCAGTAACGTAGAAAGAAACTATCCAACTAACACCCTAACCCTCTCCACCATCAACAATCGCGGAAAGCGCAGGTGTACTTTCAGATGATAGTTGCCAACTGCATTTATCTTCTAAGACTCTCAGGGTTCTATGCTCTATCTCTATTGCCTCGTCACGTCCGCTGGGTGGTGGTAAGTGTTTCGCGCAGTTCACCATGTCCTCATAAGTTCGCGCAGTCTGAACCATCGCATGGGTCAATGGCAGCAGCATAATATAGGCCAGCCGGCGAAATGAATACCACGATGACCAACACCCAACATCGCTTGTCCAAACTGGCATTCTGCGGTCATTTGTCGACCAGATCAAGGTAGCACGTACCAAATCATCTTTCAGGAATCTCGTGTTTGTGTCGTTCATCTTGGCAATGGGCAATGTAATGGTCTCACTTTGAAATAACTTGCAGAATTGCCTGAATAATCCCGTCCAGAAAAATTGTGATCTCATTGAAGAACGCATATATAAAAAAAAAAAAAAAAAATTGATTCAATTAATCAATCAACCCAATTGACCAATTACAATGCCCCAACATCCGGTGTCTTCTATCCATATTCCATCCATCCGTACCTGGGTATCACATATCCCCCTCCATCTCGATGCCAAACTACCCCCTGTCAACCCTCTCCACCCTAACCGCCATCTTCCTCTCCAGCTCCTCCTTCTCCTTCTCACTAGCCGTCATTCCCAGCGCCCCCTCGACCTGCGGTGTCGTCCATAGGCCCACGGAGGCCCAGGCGACCAGACCTATCCCGAAAAGTGCGCGTGTGCGGGGGGCTAGGGAGCGGTATGATCTATTTCATCATCATTGTGTTAGTGATGATTTGATCGAGGGTTAAAAATTTGGGGGGGGGACGTACTGCCAGAGGGACATTTTTGGTGGATTTTCTAGAGAAGTTCGGAGGCGATGATGGAGATTTGGAGATGGATGCGATAAGATGGGCTTGGCGGAGTTTACTAATTGGGTTAGTTAGTGCGTTTACTGTTTGGGTAGAGGTACGGTCAAGTCGTCCATCAAAACTGCATAACTAACTGGTATACTAACAGGGTACTAACTAACAAACAAAAGCAAGTAGATAAGCGTAAGCGTAAGCATCTAACTACACATTATTTCTTGCCGTATGCCTTGTTGACGTCATCCTGGTGTCGGTTGAGGATCTTCTTGCGCTGCAACTTCTGGGCAGCAGTCATGTAGCCCTACCAGAGTTAGTATTGAGAGACGAAAATAAGGGAAGAGGTAAAGGACTTACATTCTGAGGAGTCCACTCCTCATCCGACAACACAACACCACTGATAATCTCAATACCCTTAAGTCCAAGGGTCCGACCAGTGTTCTGTAACTGCTTCAACACAGCAGACTTGAGGTCCTCGTTCTGAACAAGCGACTCCAAGGTCGCTTCACCGCTGACCTTGCTCTCTTCAGCCACCTTCTTCAAGGCAGCTTCGACAGGCACGATGATGGCGATCGGCTGCGCCTGGTCCTCGGCAGCGTAGACGCAAATGTTACCGACGATAGGCGACGAGCGGTACACAGATTCGAGCTTCTCAAGGGCAATGTATTCGCCGTTCAGCGTCTTAACCAGGTTCTTTTTCCTGTCGATGATCCGCAGGTGGCCGTACTTGTCGAACTCGCCAATGTCGCCGGTCATGAACCAGCCACCTTCAGCGAATGCGGACTTGGTCTCTTCTTCATTCTCCCAGTAGTGTGATGTCACACTACCGCCGCGAATGAAGATCTCTCCTTGTGGAGGGTTGTTCTTGGTGAGGTATCCGGCGTCAGGGAAATCGACCAGCTTAACCTCCACCGACGCGGGGATTTCACCGAGAGCGTTGGGGTTCCAGGCCATCGGGTCGTTGAGAGCGCCCATGGCAGACGTTTCCGTCAGACCGTATCCGCTAATCATCGGCGCAATAGCCATAGATAAGAACTGCTGAGTGTCCTTGGAGATCGGGCCACCACCGTTCATGACAATCCGTAGACGACCACCAGTGGCTTCCTTAAGCTTCTTGAAGATCATGTTGTCCAAAAACCATGTTCCAAAACCGGAACCAGGGAGTCCAGTCGACAGCAAGAAGTTCTTGGCGGACATGGCGCCCCAGAAAAGACTCTTGACCAAAAAGCTGTTCTTGTTCAACTGGCCCAACACACCCTTCTTCACCGTCTCCCACACGGCGGGAACACCGACAAGAATCGTCGGCTTGAGCTCCTTGATGTCGCCCTTGCAGTTGCGCATCGAGCCTTCGGACAACGTACGCGGGTTACCGTATCCCATGGTACCACCCCAGAACAGACACAGGTTTTCGAACATAAACTCGAGGATATGGGCTTGCGGGAGGTACGTGAGCAAAGTGTCGGATGGGCCGATATAATCGCCAACAATCTCGTTGACACCGGCGGCTATCATCGTTAGCATTCTTTAGCGCGATCAGCGAAAGGGGTGAGACTCACTGGCAGCAATGACATTGGCGTGCGTCAAAGGAACGCCCTTTGGCGGACCGGTCGATCCAGAGGTGTACATGATACAGCAAAGGTGCTCCGACGCCGGCGGGACAGGATCGACCAGGTTCTCCTCGCCAGACTTCCGCAAGTCCTCGAAGCTCATGATGTTAAGGTAGTCGAAATCGGACTTGAGTTTGTCCAAGTCCTCCTGCTTGGGCTCCTGGTCGGTGTTGTAGATAACATGCTTGATCGACTTGACATCGTTGAGAACGTTGTGAAGCGAGGGAATCAAGACGGGATCGAGGAAAATGGCAGTACTGGAGGTTTGCTTGAGCGAATGCTTCAATCCTTCTTCGCCCAGGGTATCATAAGCGGTGACAATAGTAACCGACTGCGACGCGGCACCGTGAGACATGGCTAACCAGTTTGCACTACTCAATTAGCACCTCTCTACATCCTGGTAGTGGGTAATAAACTCACCTAGTAGCACCATAAAGATGAATCTTACCATCCTTCTCCAATCCCAACTTCCGTAACCCAGCACCCAACTGCAGCGCCAACTGCTCATACTCCACAAAGCTCTTGTACTGGTACCCGCTCATCTCGAAATACGTCCACTTCTTATCCACCTCCTGCTCAACCCCGTCAATGACTTTCTTCACCTTCTTGTTCTCGATGTGCGTCTTGATCAGCTTCCGGGTACCCACGGCCTTTGCGTTTCCGAACAGCCGCGCGGAGCGTCTGAAGACGTCGTAGGTGGTGCCAACATCTGGGGCAGGACGAAGGATCAGACCGTCTTTGGAGCGGAGGTGACGACGGGGCTTGGTCTCGCCTTGGACGGGTTCGGCGCCGGGGACCTCAACAGAGAACGGAGGCTTCTTAGCCATCTTGGGTTGGAGATTAATATCTGTTTTGGACATTGTGGCGGTTTATGGGATGATTAAAACGGGGTATCTTAAGGAAACTGAAGAAACAGAAAAATGGTCAGCAAATATTTAGATACGAGACGAGTAAATAGCGACTGGTGCCAGCGCAGAATGACCGGCTATGTATGAAATCAGTCGTCGTCGTCGTCATACCTTCGATCAATTTTGCGATCCAGCAAAATAACAAAAATGGACCGCTGTGGTATAATTCCCTCCGAGAAACAGAAAGAAAGAAGAAAAAATAATAGAGAGGAGAATGGCGGAGCAATATAAAGAAAAGGAATAGAGTTGGAAGATCAAGAGGGGAGAAAGACACTGGCTGAGCGATGCGCCGCCGAAAGCTGGACTGTCAGCGCAATGAGATCAGTGCCGGTGGCTGGGCTGCCGTAGAGAATTGACCACTGACGCAATTTGCCGAGCTTTAATTTAACACAACTGGAGCTCGATGTTTGTACGTATGGATACCTACAATTGATATTTATATTCCAAATTGCTCTTTATTATCTGCACTATATGCAGAGTATATACTCTTTCCATCACCTCCCCCCTATTCCTACGCAGCTAGATTATACAATTACAAGCTGCATCAGACAAAGACCTCAGGCACAAAACGCATGCGGTAACCTCAGTGGCTGTCCTGAACTAGTAACGTTTTGTTGGGATTTTCGCCCAACAACCCTGACCCTATTTGCTTTAACTCTACAGCGTAGTCGCATAGCAGATTAGATATATTGACTGAATTGTAAATAGAGTCAAGATGCATTCTGATAGCTCGTTCCACTCTGTTCTGCATTGTTTCAGTCCGTTTGGGCAAAATATAGTGGGTCACGTGCTCTCCTGTAATCCACTATATTAATCCAATCACAGCGTCTGTAGTTTATCAATTTTCACCCCTATGGAGAATAACACACTTTGGTGGCATAACACAACTATCCAATACAACCCTAAGCCATAAAGAACATGAACGAATTCCTCTCATCCCTCGGCCACCCGGTCGAGGACACCGAAGAGGGTACGTACATCACCCGTAAATAGCGTATTCAGACAATCAAAGACAACACACCACAACGCCTCCTAGCTTCCTAGTTTTCCAATGGATACACGTCTGATGAAAGAAAACAAAACCCAACAGAATCCTTCCTCCTATTCGCCCAAGAAATCCCAACCAGCAATCTAGGCTTTGTTGACTCTCGCGCGCACTCCCTCGAGGTCACCATCCACGGGAACGAGTATACCATCCAGCAGTCGCCTTCGTTACTTTCGTCATCGAGGGCGGGTGGTACTACTGGTGCGGTTTTGTGGAAGATAACACCACTTTTTGCGGAATGGATCTCGGGGCTTACTTCGAATCCGCTCTGGACGCATCTTGATTCACCATTGCAACCGGCTGTGGGGAAGACGGTTGTTGAGCTTGGGTGTGGGATAGCGGGGCTTGTGGCGCTTTCTTTAGGGCCTTTGGTGCAGCATTATGTTGCTACGGATCAGGAATATGTGCATCGGTTGTTGAGGGAGAATCTTGAGGAGAATAAAAGCATTGTGTATAAGCAGAAGTCCGGGGGCTCGAAAGGAAAAAGTGGAAAGAAGAAGGGAGCGTCAAAGCAGGCACAGTCTGACGAGTCGAACATCTCGTTTACCTCGCTAGATTGGGAACTAGATGCACCGGATTTATTGAAGAAGAGTGTCGGTATAGCATCCGAAAACGACGATGAGGAGGATAATGGCTTCGACCTGCTTCTTTCATGCGATTGCATCTACAACGAAGCCCTCATCGTGCCCTTTGTTCGGACCTGCGCGGATATCTGTCGTTTACGGCCTGCATATCATCCTGAGAAAGCTGCTGACGAGAGGGGGAAGAATCCTACGATCTGCATAATCGCCCAAAAACAGCGCACTCCGGATGTATTCGAGGCGTGGTTGGAAGAAACACTCAAGATATTCTGGGTCTGGAGGTTGAGTGATGAGATTCTGGGGGAGAGATTAAAGGGTGGAACCGGGTATATGCTTCATTTACTAGTTCTCAGGGATGATGCATAGCTCTGTTATCTAGATAAATCGGTTCATAAATATGTTAAGCTGAATGTGCAAGTAGATGACAAAATTATGCAAAACAAACTGCCTCCGTCTATCAACAAGCTCATTGAGACATTACTATTAAACATACAAAATCCACCCAAATGTACAAAACCGGGTATTATAAATCTGCAATGCGGCATATATCCAAGAGAAGACATTATTATTTTGCCTCAGTTTTTACCTCGGCTTCTTTGGTTTCACTCGGTTCTCGGTCTGAAGAAGGCTCGGTCGGTTCGACCTTCTCTCTGACTGGTGTGGTCTGCTCCTGGGAAGCAGATGCTGGCGTCTCGCTAGATTGCGGTAGTGCCATCGATTCAGGATTATCAATAATAGACGAAATCGACTGCTTGATCGACCCGTTCGTATTAGATGGTGCCGCGGGGGGCAATGCGGGGGTAGACTGTTCTATCCGTGTCTGCTGCTCCGCATTATCTGTGGCTTCTGATTTAACCGCATACGTGTCTTGATCCTCTTCCTCATCAGAGCCTGTCGAATATTCCATTTCCTGCGGGTATCCATCCCCGTCTGCCTGGTTTGATTCCAACCTGCTTTCTTCTGTAGAGGCCCGCTGCACCGTCCGGACAGGGGGCAGGGGAGCATTCGGGTCATAGACTACACCACAAACCTCCAAGGCTCGAGACTGGCTTCCTAAAGTACGGTCTTTGTGCTTCTTAGTCAGGTGACACATGAAGCCATGCAGTGTAACAAAGTCCGCTTTCCCGCATCCGGGGATAGGGCACGTCAGGTAGACCAGGTTTCCATCTGAGGGACGTTTCCACAGTGAACGGCCGGAGGGGTCATGGGCTGCGGGACGTCCATGACGTTCGCCCCAGGCTTCAACGTTTTTGATCGTATACTTCTGCTTTTTACGGATGGAGCCACTTGATGGATCAAAGGGGGCCGGATGATGGGGCTGAGGCGGTAGAGATGCAGCCGGTGGTGCAGCAGGATGGACTTGAACATGGTGCGGGTGAGCATGCGGATGCGGATGCGAATGTGCGTGAGCGTGAGGGTGAGGTTGCGGCGGGTGCTGGTGCTGATGTTGATGCGGGTGCGCTGGGTGTGCATGAGGATGAGCGTGATGGTGCGGTGGAGCTTGGGACGGAGGAGTAGGAAGTGGACGAGGATCGGGAGGCGTCTGCTGCTTAAAAAACGCCAGTGTCGTCGCAGCATTTGTCTCAGACAATCGACGCGGAGGTGTTGGCCGCAGAGGCGGCGAATCCATTGATCCATTTACTCCAATGCCCATGGATTCTCTCTTGAGTCGTTTCCGTTGTCTCCGGAGGTCCTACGTCTGTCAGTCTTTTTTTACTCTTTGGATCCAAATTCAGAAGTGAATACCTCTTCCTCGGCCTCTGCATTCTCCGTCATGCGACGAAAATCCTCATCCTCGCGCTTTCGAATAGCAAGCAGTTGGCTCCTCGTTGCCATACGTGCCGCCTCTTCATTTTCCAATTGCCTCAAACGGGCTTCAATGTGCTCTATATGAGACGGGTGCAGGCCTGGTTCCTGCGCCGGATGAGGAGGGGGGTGAGGATGTTGCTGCGGCGGCGGGGGAGGAGGATACGGACGAAAGTGATGTTGCATGGCAGGATCCGGGGGCATATGCTGATTGGGATTCATGGCGATAGGATGGAAGCGAGGCAGAGTCATGGGATTGACAGGGCCGTGAGTATGAACGGGACCATTCTCGTGCAGAGTGGTGGGAGGGACTGGAGGTGCAGCAACCGTCATAGTGACAGTCGTATATACAGTCTGGATTGGATTCAGAGATGATTGAGATTGCAATCATAGACTGCAAACAGACAGAGGATATCAGATCAAAGAAATGAACAAGGGAAGGGGGATAAGAATAGTAGACTGAAGAGGAGGGGGGGTTAGATCCTAAACTGGACTTACCTGCACTTGGACAGTTTTGGTGGGGGGACTAGATTCGAGTGGCCACCAGTCAGGAATCAAAGAAAAGAAAGAAAATGCGGGTAGTATAATAATAACAATAATAATGAACTAAAATTAAAAAAATACAACTGCAAAGCGTCTGCACCTCGCCCGTTTTTGGGAGAGTCAAATGTCGACAAATCTCCGGCAGAAATTTAGAGAGCGAAAGAGCAAGGGATCAACAGCAAATCGAAACGAACGAAAGACAGACACGGGATTCTTTTTCTGTTCCTTGTTGAACTAGTGTCAACAATAATCGCCCGACTAATCAAAAAAGTGGAGGAACAACAAACCAGACCATGGAACTAGTGCCTTCATATTAATAGTTCTCACCAGTAGATTATTTATTGATTATGTACTGTGTAGTAGCACTACTGTGTACTTGTCAGTGGTAGTACTTCTCCTTGTACTTACTCTGTAGTAGTATTATTATTATTGTGCAAGAGTCTACTGCTAGTGCTACCCTGATAGATGCTATTGTGTACTTTCAAGTACCATTGTGTATGTATGTGTATTCACGACTACGGAGTATGACTGACTCCTGACCCAAATAAATCAAGCTTGATTATTTATACGCAGCCAATCAGCGTCTGTCCTGTACGATCATGTGATATGTCCCCAGAGATTGGCTGTAGAAGATCATAGAAGACTGTAATGCTACTCCGTACTATGTACTAGTACTTCGTACAGCGAAGATGCAAACATGAATCGATAGATTACTATGAAACATATCCAGTCAATCATGTAAATTAAGGGGATCCCACAAAGAGAGTAAATCGGGTCAGGTACAGAGTTCTCCGTACTGTACTCCGTAAAAAGTAAATTTTTTTTTTTTTTTTTTTAAAAAAAAAAAAAAAAAAAGAAGGAAAACCAACTCTGGAACCCAAAATTGCATCCAGAAAATCCCCTCCAATCACTAGTGGAGAATCTCAATCAATAATCTCTGCATTCCTTGGAAAAAAACCCCAGGGAGGCAATCCCATTGGTTCTGCCAAGGGAGAGACAACAATCTCTTCACATCTAAGTATTCCGTACTAAAAAGCTATCGTTTCTGCACAGACTGCACAAACTGCACAGACTGCACAGATCCGGTTTTGCTCCAAGCTGCCTGCTCAAGCAAAACCCCCGACGGATGTTGTTGTGTACCCATCTGATTTGTCCTTTCAGGGAGAGTGGAGGCGGAAGAAGTCCACCAGAAACATCCCTAAACTTTGACAGCGTATCTGTAACAAAAGGACGAGACAGACACCTCCGATCTATTTTCATGACTCTGCAGTTGGCGTCTACCGTATCCCTGAGTATTCAATAGAAACAGAACAACGCAAGGTTTTTTCCCTATTCTACCCCGTACTCCGTACTCTACTTATATAGAAATACTATGAGTGCTCTACTCTGCACTACGCAAAAGAACCATTTGAATCGAGAGGAGACTTTTCTGATTCTATCATCTCATGCTCCGTAAAACCAACCACTTTTCCTTTCGCCTTTTGGGGCCCGTCCCCTGCCGTAAACTCATTAAGTTACATGTGCCTTTCCAACGGATGTCCGCTTAGAACAACACGAAAAGAGAAAAGAGGAAAGTAGTTCAACGTTACGCTGAATCAGACCCCGACGTCATAGAAAAAAAAAAAAAAAAAAGAACAAGCAGAAAGTAAACCATTGCACAAAAAAAGAACACCGATACACCATGGCAACAAAATAAAAATCAACTATGTGTACATATCATGAGAGTAGTAGGAGAGCTCAAGGGGAGAAATTGAGAAGAAGGCTGTATAGGAGACATAATGCAAACATCACGAGAAAAGAGATTATACAAGGTTTTTGGGTAAGGATAGAAAAAGTACAGGTTCATCAATGTTGGTACATTTAAGCCTTGTTCTCACCCTCACCACCCTGAGGCGGCTGCTGCTGCTGCTGCTCAGACTGGGCCTTGTGCATCTTGTCGAAGAGGGTCAAGCTGGCGGTCTGGAGCTCGTCGGTCTTCTGCTTGAGCTCCTCGGCGGTGGCGGTACCCTCACCGGACTGGTTCTTGGCGACGAACTCGCGAAGGTTGCCAATCTTCTCACGGATCTGCTCAGCCTCAGCCTTGTCGAGGCGGTCCTCGAACTCCTTGAGAGCCTTCTCAGTGTCGTTCAGGACACTGTCAGCACGGTTGGCAGCCTCAATGGCGGCCTTGCGCTCCTGGTCCGCAGCACCATACTTCTCAGCGTCTTGAACCATCGACTGGATCTCAGCATCAGAGAGACCAGAGCCAGAGGCAATGGTGATGGACTGGTCCTTGTTGGTGGACTTGTCTTTGGCGTGGACGTGGACAATGGAGTCGGCGTCAATGTCGAAGGTGACCTCGACCTGAGGAACACCACGGTGGGCAGGAGGAATGCCGACGAGCTGGAAGTTACCGAGCAACTTGTTGTCCTTGACAAGCTCACGCTCACCCTGGAAGACCTTGATCTCGACAGCCGTCTGGAAGTCAGCGGCGGTGGAGAAGGTCTGAGACTTCTTGGTGGGGATAGTGGTGTTGCGGCTAATCAGACGGGTGAAGACACCACCGAGGGTTTCGATACCGAGAGACAGAGGGGTGACGTCGAGCAAGAGAATGTCGGTAACCTCACCAGACAGGACAGCACCCTGGACAGCAGCACCAATAGCGACGGCCTCATCAGGGTTAACCGACTTAGCGGGCTCACGGCCGAACATCGACTTGACAGACTCAGTAACCTTGGGCATACGAGTCATACCACCAACAAGGATGATGTCCTGGATCTCGCTGGACTGGAGGTTGGCGTCCTTAAGGGCCTTGCGGACGGGTTCGATGGTGCGGCTGATCAGAGGATCAACAAGAGCCTCAAGCTGGCTACGGGTCATCTTCTGGTTGATGTGCTTAGCACCGCTGGCGTCGGCAGTGATGAAAGGAAGGTTGATCTCAGTCTGGAGAGAAGAGGACAACTCAATCTTGGCCTTCTCAGCAGCCTCACGGATACGCTGGATAGCCATGCGGTCACCGGTGAGGTCGAGGCCAGAGTCCTTCTTGAAAGACTGCACAATGTTGCGAACAAGGTGGATATCAAAGTCCTCACCACCAAGGTGGGTGTCACCGTTGGTGGACTTGACCTCGAACACGCCATTCTGGATCTCCAGAACGGAGATATCGAAGGTACCACCACCAAGATCGTAGACGGCGACAACACGGTCAGCCTCCTTCTCCAGACCGTAGGCAAGAGCAGCGGCAGTAGGCTCGTTTACGACACGAAGGACGTTGAGACCAGCAATCTGACCGGCATCCTTGGTGGCCTGACGCTGAGAGTCGTTGAAGTAGGCGGGAACGGTAACGACAGCGTTCTTAACAGGCTTGCTGAGGTAGTTCTCGGCAGTCTCCTTCATCTTCTGGAGAGTGAAACCACCAATCTGCGAGGGCGAGTACTTCTGGCCACGAGCCTCAACCCAGGCGTCACCGTTGGTGTGCTGAACAATCTTGTAAGGGACCTCCTTCAGGTCACGCTGAACCTCACCGTCGGTGAACTTGCGACCGATGAGACGCTTAGTGGCGAAAAGAGTGTTCTCGGGGTTGACAACGGCCTGACGCTTAGCAGCGATACCGACCAGACGCTCGCCATCTTGAGCGAAAGCGACAACAGATGGTGTTGTTCTAGCACCTTCAGTGTTCTCGATGATCTTGGGAGCCTTGCCCTCCATCACGGCAACAGCCGAGTTAGTGGTACCTGTAAACGATTGAGTTAGCTAAGCTCCTCGACTGGGACACCGCGGGATGCAATACATACCAAGGTCAATACCAATGACCTGGCCCTTAACCTTCTCCTCGCCACCTTCTGTCGAGTTCCATCTCCGGGGCACAGCACCGGGGACTCTGAAGGCGGGAGCACGGGCGAAAGAGGTAGCGCGGGGGAGCTATCATCGAGCACATTAGTCTTCTGTCTGGTTTGTTCACAGGTGAAGTATCGAACTTACCGCGCGGCAGAAGCGGGAAGAAAGCATCGTCATTAAACGTAATTAATACAAGAGGGGGAAAAGATAAAAAGAGATAGGTACTCCAGTCGATTCAATCGAGGGGAGCAAATAGTGTGATATAAGAGGAGGAGAGGGGGAGGTGGAGGGTGGAAGAGGAAGACGATGAAATTTTTCAAGAGAGGAAAAAAGAATGGGAGAACGGACCAGGTGCAGCGTAGAAATTGCCCGGAGAGCGTCGGCCCGGGCTGTCGAACTTGGTAGAAGAGCGGCGAACGGGCCAATCATAGCCGAGACCGCCTTTGAAGGTAGCCGAGTAACTGCGTCATCCAATCATCCGAGGTTCGTCCGAAGCTGCATTCGGGTGGGAGGGTTACTATATACTATTCTGTACAATGTATAAGAAAATGGTATACCTATAATGCTTCGAAGAGAACCCTACAGTATCGTATCGTGGGATGTACTTCGTAGTTTGACATGCGTATGCTATTCTATGGGCAAGGTGCCTCTTGCCATCCGTAGCAACCTATTCCGAATTACCAGCACCGATTTCGCAGTTGTAGCAGAATTTGACATGTTAGTTTTCAATGGACCATACGGAGATACTGAGAGCAAAGAAGCTAATAGTTTTGGACTCAGGTTACTAATGAATGCTTGATCCTGAGATATAACTGGTATAGTTTAACATCTAAGCCATAGAATAGTGTAGTGTGTCCACCGTTCCATGAATGCCCAGAATATCTTCACGTTTACGGACATACTACTACTACTACTCCGTACTCTGTAAGCAGAACACCAACCCATCGCTTGATCTAGAAGATTCCGCACTAGATCCTGTGGAACTGTCGGACCCATCAACGGCTCAGTCTAAGCAGTTTCGATTTCTTTCCTTTTTGGGCGAACTAATAGGATCTACGAGGCATAGAGCTCTTCTACTTGATATGCCACACTGCCAGAGGTACCCCGTACGTACCTTGTTGACCTCGGCGATATATTTAGTCCGCTAGTAGCAGAGCACACGCACCATGTTAGATACATATCTGGGTGGCATAAAGTTCATCTCTATACAAAGACAACACAGCACAATCAATGAGAGAAATGGCAAATACTGAGAAAAAAAAAAAAAGCGTCAGCCAAGTAATCAGAAATTGTTTGCTGTACTAACAGAGCAGTACCTACTGGGCATTGGTCTGCTGGACAGACATGTTCAAGACCGGCATACTCGGATATATATTGACCAACCCGCTTCCAGAGTAAGACAGGAAACTTCTTCCAAGCTGAATCCAAATATTAACAGCGTATTTATTGACAGGTTTGCACACCAACCCGGCTGCATTCCCCGGATTGACCGTTTGTGTCAAGTATTACATCATCAGTCGCCCCGGCTTTGGGTCTCCCAATGCCGCAACCACTCTCAAGTCCAGAAAAACATAGCAATACTACGTTACTAGCATACGATTACCAGCGAGAGGAAAATTGAATACATTATCCGTATCATATACTTTGCTCTGCTTCACTGTCCTGGCTGCTGCTATCGTCAACACAGCCAAGGATTTGCTCACCGCGTGTTTTCCGTATCTGGACATTTGTCAAGCGACACACCTTCAGCCGTGCACTGTATCTCTTACCACCTAACAATGTCACGACGGCCTTGAGCGCTCACCATGACTTCGGATAATGCGCTTCTGTTAGTCACTTGCCCTATTCTAAATATGTGGATCGATTCTGACCTGGACCGCGCGTTTATTATAGAGAACGCCCGACCGAGTCTTTAATCCTTCCTACCAAGCGGCGATTCTTCCCTTTTAAAATACCTAATTTGTCTGTATACCAAATCCCACTACCCCGATCAAGCTGAATGAAAACGTTAACGGCTACATGTAGCCATCAACAACTTCGCAACTATATCAGTACTGCCGACCCCGACAGGATTTACGTCGTCGTCGACAAAGTTGTATATGCGATTCACATCGAGTCCCACAAGCGAGAGAGTATAGCTGTCATACCGTTCGAACCAAAATGTCTCGCTGCTGGCTACGGTTGGATTGCTGTGGGAGGGTCGGATAATGGAGAATGTGCTTTCATTCGAATCGCTGATCAGAGAGTGCGTATTCAGGACAACGATGTGCCGGCTTCACATCCTTCAGAAGTGGATAGCGCGCTGCCCATTGATCTCGACCCCCCAAGAAGGGTCTTGTCTCCCTGGACTACTGGGGAGGGAACAGAATCGGTCCGTCGGTTGAATTCAAGACTGCTTCCGGATGTGCAACTCCACAAGTTTGGAGGTAGTATAGTTAATTCCGTCGCCCTCCACCGCTTACCTGGTGATGGGAAGGGCTTAGCAGACGAAGATGTGATAATTATCAGGTACGATCTATTGATGTGAAGGTCGCATTTTCACCACACCGTTCTGACATGCTCTTGCAGCAATAATGACAAGACCGTGACCGTTTACTCCTTAACCCGTGGTAAGGTTCTCAAGGTCCTTCATCATCAGTCATGCATGAACTATGCGATTATGTCACCGGATTCGTCCTTACTCACTGCCGTCGGTGATGAAAGTCGCGCGTATTTCTACGAAGTGTCTCGCGATCTGGATACTGCCGTGCTCACGGAGAATGGCGAAAAGCTCACTGGATGGGAATGGAACCTCATTCGTCACGTGGACATGGATATTGGCACTCGGTTCGATGCTGGCTGTTGTTTCACCATCGCGTTTTCTCCGTCTAATCACCTGTGCGCCATAGGATCACAATCGGGAGTGATTACAATATTTAATGTTCAGGTGGTCTGGGAAAGCCCACTTGGTCTTTACGACAAGAGCTCGATAATTTGCCATTTCCACTCTTCTCGGTCTCATTTTGATGGTGGAGCTGTGCGATCCATGATGTTTTCACCAACGCCATGGGATCTTCTGGTGTGGATCGAAGATAATGGTCGAGCAGGAATTGCAGATGTCCGTCATGCCTTTACACGCCGACAGATAATTGATTTAGACGCGAAGGATTCGAGCCTGCAGGAAGTCCGTACAGAACCTATTCTGGATGAGTCAGAGGGATTAGGGTTTGCCTTCAATCAGGCATTTCCCGAGTCGCGCGATGAGATGGATGCGGCCCAGCGTGCGATGCTGGATTCGATCGAGAATTCCTCGAATGAACGAGGGGACGGACCTGAACGTTCATCAATGCGGGAGAGTTCGATGCACGATCTTACGGAAAGAGAGAGACTGATAGTCGAATTCCTGAACACTGCGCGGTGGACTTCGAGATTGGAAGAGGGCTCGACGGACCGGGGAGGGAGACCGAACCTACACCCAAATCCTTCTCGTTCCAGACTCACAGGTGCCATGGATGTCGGTATCCGTCCGTCTCGCCCTACTTCGCCTCTTCGTCCTAATGATCCCCTTCACGACCTATTGCGAGATAGCTATGTGGGTCATAATACTGATCATCGTTATTCAAGCACCAGGCGCCAGGGCTCCATTATTTTACCGCACAATGATCCGGAGGATACGGAGATGCAACCCAGTATTACAGTTAGCTGGACTGCTTCACCTGCGGAAATCCAGCCAGCAACATTGGACAATTCGACGCGCAGGTCCGACTCGAGTACAGGCGACCCTAGTGGAATCCAGCGTTCAACTTCAACCCCGAGGCGCGCTGAGCGGCAGGAAACGACTTCTGAGAGTCGTTATGAACCACCACGTCTGTTGAACTCCGAACTACGGGCTAACGTGGCGGCGGAGCGCTTTCGACGGCAGCGTCAATTAATTAATGAGGCGTATAACCGAAATAGCCTACGAGATCAGCGGCATCGCCCACATCTCCTGGGGTTTGAGCGCTCCCCTAGGTGGATTCGGAATATCTTGAATGAACTCCCTGACAGAAACTACCATGTGCATAGGGACCAAGACTCCGGCGGTACAGCTGGACTTGGGTGGGGAGCAGATGGAAGGACACTGTAAGCTTTTGTCTTTTTTTTTTTTGGTCCCCTGAAGTAGAGCTGATCAGGTATAGATACGTCGCCACTGTGGATGGTATATTCGAATTTCACCTTAATGTCCATGATCGAAAAACATTCCCTATCGTCTCCTTCCGATAAGGGACACCAGAACCACACAAGTTCTTCTTTTCCTTCCTTTTTTCTTTCTTTCTCTAGCATTCTTGCTGCTTTATGTTACTTTACCTCAGCTACCTTTCTAAATGGGTTTCCAGGGTTTTACTTCGGCGATTTGGATACAGTTGGGGGATTCGGGTTTGGTGATACCACTTATTTTCCTTTGGCCCTATATGCCATAATGATTTCAAATTTCTTTGTGCTTTTCGGTTATTTTGCATGATATGTCTTTTCGATTTTCGCATGATGTCCTGCTGCATTTTCATCATGGTGTTCTGGTGATTGCATTAGGATAGCTTCTTTTTCTTGCTCCTTTTATGATTACGGTGGAGGACACGAATCAAAAGTATATTACTTCTTCTATGCAATAAAAGTTATGGTAGAGGGAACCAGCTGCATGCCCAGTTACCTTATCTTTTGTCAAGTTACTGGGTTATCAAGTTCACAATTGTATAGGTGCTCCGTACCTGGTAGTATATATGCGAACCTCCGATGCCGCCCCACACCCACGACGTCAGCGAAAATGTGTGCGGGCAGGTTCATCAGCATCCATACTGCCGCCCATCGCCGCCAACAACTGCAGCCCACTTACTCGTCCCACCGTTCCATCTGGGCACAGAGCTCCTACTATACGACCAGAAGCTGCAAATCGACGTGCAGCCTCCGTTGGCTATCTTCTGAAGCGAATCACTCGTTGTGAAGATCGACCGAATGGCAGATTCTCTGGCTTCGACTTTGGCGGAACTGAACCTGAACGCTCAGCAGTCGAGCGATTCAGCGTTCGATACCCGGCTTGCCGAGGAGGAGAATGGCACCTATGAGAATCTTAGGCCGCGAAAGAGGACGAAGCAGACAGCGGAGAATTTGAAGGCGTCGTTGGAGGCTGAATTTTTGACGCCGTCTTCAAGGTTTAGTACGGAATGGTTGAACTATTTACAGAGGTTGGTTGCTACTTGGGTCATCTATAATCTTTTTTCATCATATATATGGAATTGGAATGGCTGACGTTCGTCAATCAAATTGTAGGAGATGGGATGTCCCAACAGACTACACCGACTTATTCGAGATCGCTCCCACCCAGACTCGTACTATCACTCGTTTCGACCGCGAAGGCCTTGAAGGCCGTGTGACCGGCTACCATGAAGTTACCATCCCTGCCACCAGCGCTAATGCGAAGAACTCAACATCACTACTCCGTCGACCAGCTGG